GGGCCCGGGCTGGGGATTTGAACCCGCCACCTTAGGTGTATGTGGCTGGTGCCTTAGCTGCTTGAGCCACAGGCGCCGAGCCAAGTGCTTTATTTTTAAGCTATGTCCTGATAGCTTAAACTGTATTAAAGGGTTGCAGCATTAGGAAGGTTGAGAACCATTGATCTAAGCCTAGAATAAAAAGTAATTAAAATTTAAGTGCTTTATTTTTAAGCTATGTCCTGATATATTTGCATTGGGTATGCAGTTATAACAGTATGCAAATTTGGGACATCTGAGTCTAAAAATACTATCAATAGCTTGTAAGTCCTCTGTACATTCATTGATTTAGTTTCAAGTAACATGTACAGTCAGGAAGGATATAGCAGTGAGATGTAATACTGTGTTCTTCCCTTGCAGTGGGTAATTCCAGAATTGATTGGCCATACTGTTGTCACTGTATTAATGCTGGTTTCATTGCACTGGTTCATCTTCATTCTCAACTTACCTGTTGCCACTTGGAATATATATCGGTGAGTATAGTTTGTTTAACTTAATGTTTTGTGTTAGAGCAGTTAAAAATTCATAGCCTTTGTTTTCTTTGTTTTGTTTTTTTGCATTTTTGGCCAGGGCTGGGCTTGAACCCGCCACCTCCAGCATATGGGGCCAGCGCCCTACTCCTTGAGCCACAGGCGCCACCCAACAGCCTTCTTTTTCCACTAAAATATGTGCCAGTGATAAAATGAAGAGCAATAGAATGGACAAATTTTTCTTCACTCTGGTATACTGGGCAGGTGGCAAATTGCATGGCTCAGTTTAAAAAAGCAAATTTATATATATAAATTTATGAACTGTAATGGCTTGGCACCTGTAGCTCAAGCAGCTAAGGTGCCAACCTCATACACCAGAGCTGTTGGGTTTGAATCCAGCCCGCGCCTACCAAACAACAATGACAGTCACAACCAAAAAAAAAAAAAAATAGCCAGGCGTTGTGGTGGGTGCCTATAGTCTCGGTTACATGGCAGGCTAAGGCTAGAGAATCACTTAAGCCCAGGAATTGGAGGTCACTGTGAGCTGTGATGCCATGGCACTCTACCAAGGGCAACAGCTTGAGGCTCTGTCTCAAGAAAAAGAAATAAGAAATGAATACATTTATGAAATATGTAATGTATAGTCCTGATGTCTAAAGACTTACGGATTGATTTTTATTGCCTTGGATATATTTTTCTTTGAAGAATGATGAAAAGCCTGAGCTTATAATACAAGGTCCTTATTACTTATATTTACAGTTTTTAATTAGACTGTACTTGGATTACTCCAAAGGAAATTACATTTTATTTTATTTATTTATTTATTTGCAGTTTTTGGCTGAGGCCAGGTTTGAACCCGCCAGCTCCAGTATATAGGGCTGGCGCCCTACTCCTTTGAGCCACAGGCGCCATCTGGAAATTACATTTTAAAGCCTGCAGATTAGGTCATTTAACAGAATTTTTTTTATTTGTTTGTTTTGAGACAGAATCTTACTATGTTGCCCTCAGTAGAGTGCCTTAACACCTTGAACTCTTGGGCTTAAGCAATTTTCTTGCCTTAGCCTCCCAAGTAGCTGGGACTATAGATGTCCACCTCAGCAATGGAATATTTTTTGTTGCACTTGTCGTTGTTTAGCTGGCCCGGGCTGGGTTCAAACCCACCAGTCTTGGTGTATGTGGCTGGCACCATAAACTACTGTTTTACAGGTGCCAAGCCTGTTTGTTTGTTTGTTTTGAGACAGAGTCTCTCTATGTCATCCTTGATTAGAGTGCTGTGATGTCAGAGCTCACAGCAACGTTAAACTCTTGGGCTTGAGTGATTCTCTTGTCTCAGCCTCCCAAGTAGCTGGGACTACAAGAGCCTGCCACAATGCCCAGCTGTTTTTTTTTTTTTTTGTTTTGTAGTTGTCATTATTGTTTGGCAGGTACAGGCTGGGTTCAAACCTGCCAGCTCTGGTGTATGTGGCTGGTGCCCTAGGCACTGAGCTATAGGAACCGAGCCTGTTTGTTTGTTTTTGAGACAGAGTCTCACTTTGTTACCCTGGGTAGAGTGTCGAGGGGTCAGAGCTCATAGCAGCCTCAAACTCTTGGGCTCAAGTGATCCTTTTGCCTTCCAAGTAGTTGGAATTACAGGAGCTTGCCATGATGCCCTTCCAGTTTTTAGAGAAGGGGGTCTCACTTTTGCTCAGGCTGGTCTTGAACTACTGAGCTCAAGCAATCCACCCACCTCGGCCTCCCAGAGTGCTAGGATTACAGCTACTGCAGCTTAGCCCCTGCACCTGATGCCTGATGTTTTTATTTTATTTTTTGTAGAGACAGGGTCTTGCTGTGTTGTCTATCCTGGTATTAAACTCCTGGCCTTAAGTGGTCCTCTATCTTTGCCTACCAAATGATGGGATTATAGGCAGGAGCTCCCGCACCAGCCTCATTGAGTGATTTTTAACTGTGAGGTTTTAAAGTATAGTTAAAATAACACAGCATAAGAAAGAATAAAGGTGGAGGCTAAAAAAAGATAAGGGGAAGGCAGTAGAGGTGAGAGGAGTGGATTTAGGGGATGATCTTACAAAGATCATGAAACTAGAACCTGAGCTTCGGAGAAGTTTTTATAGCTGTACCTCTTTTCCAGAGGGTAGGTGTTCTGAGGTGAAATTTTTTTTCCTTTCTTTTTTTTCTTTTAAAATTTTGTTTAGAGATGGGTGTCTTGCTCTGTTGCCCCAGGTTGGAGTGCAGTGGCACAGTCATAGTACATACATCCTTGAACTTCTGTGCCCAAGGTATCCTCCTGCCTAAGCCTCCTAGATAGCTAGGATTACAGGCAAATGCCACTGTGCCCAGCTTCTTTTGCCTTCTTTTTGTTCTCACATGATCTAGTCCATAGACCAGCACCCTAACCCGAGCCCTGTGCTGGTAACGCCCCCTGGAACTTCTGATGCGGGCTAGTCCTATGCAGACTTTTAGCACACCTAAATCTCCCTGTAGTCTCAGTAAGGAAAACACAAATTTGAGAGTGAGAGTGGGTATTGGAGCCCCTGAGACTATGGATCTTTTTTTATGTTTTTTAATTTTTTTTTGGAGACAGAGTCTCACTTTGTCACCTTTGGTTGAATGCCATGACATCATAGCTCACAGCAACCTATAATTCTTGGGCTCAGGTGATCCTTTTGCCTTAGCCTCCCAATTAGCTGGGACTATAGGCGCCTGCCACAATGCCCGGCTATTTTTAGAGGCGGGGGTCTTGGTCTGGCTCAGGCTGGTTTTGAACCTGTGAGCTCAGGTAGTCCACCTGCCTTGGCCTCCCAGAGTGCTAACATTATAGGTGTGAGCCACTGCGCCTGGCCCGAGACTGTGGATCTTAATGATATCCCAGACCACAGCATTAATCACCTTTATTAGAGATAAAAATGTGGCAAAGGAAGAGCTAGCTTGGCATGGCTTCTTTGTACATAGTACAGACTGTGGTAGAAGGCTCTATGAAGTCAGTCAAGTCCAATGATTCCTTGTTTCAATAATTATAAAGACAAAGGTGACATAGATTTATTGCCCTGATAACTGCAGTGGCAGGTTAACTGTATGCTGGTCACAAGTTTATCTTAACAAGGTTTAGAAAATCAACAGAGTGGCCAGTGCTCTCTTCAGTGCACTGTATGTACTTTCTATTGTTGGGCTGCAGACATAGGTATATATGTATGTGTAGAATATCATACGGACTATATCACAGGACAAAGAGGCAAAACATTGAATAAAAAAGTATGTTAGTTAAATAAGGGTCTTAAGACGGTGAAGATAGTTGCCAGATAAGAAATGAGAGAATTCCCAAGGGTTTGAAGGATAAGGGGAGGGGTAGGTGGGAAAGCCTGTACAAATACACAAGGTGAATTCAAGGAGCAGTCAGGCTGAAGTCGTGTAGAAGAGGGAGTAGTAATAGAGAAAGCTGGAAAAGTTGAATGCTAGTCTAAGGAGTTTATATAAATATGAATACTGGTATTATGAAATTCACCCATTTAAAATATATCAATATCAATATATTTTTAGTGTATTTTGCAACCATCACCATGATCTATTTTAGAACATTTTAATCACCCACTCCCAAATCTCCATATTTATTAGCAGTCACTCCCAACTCCTGCTTCTTTCCTAGCCCCAAGCAACCACCAATCTACTTTCTGTTTCTCTAAATTTACCTATTGTTTGCCCAGGTGCAGTGGCTCACCCCTGTAATCCTAGCACTCTGGGAGGCTGAGGCGGATGGATTGCTTGAGTTTAAGAGTTTGAGACCAGCCTGAGCAAGAGCAAGACCCCATCTCTAAAAAATAGCCGGGCAATGTGGTGGGCGCCTATAGTCCTAGGTAATTGGGAGGCTGAGGCAAGAGGATCAGTTGAGCCCAAGAGTTTGAGGTTGCTGTGAGTTATAATGCCATGGCTCTCTACCCAGGGTGACTGAGTGAGGGTCTGTCTCAAGAAAAAAAAAAATGGGCTCGGTGCCTGTGGCTCAAGCGGCTAAGGTGCCAGCCACAAACACCTGAACTGGCGGGTTCGAATCCAGCCCAGGCCTGCCAAACGACAATGATGGCTGCAACCAAAAAATAGCCAGGCGTTGTGGCGGGTGCCTATAGTCCCAGCTACTTGGGAGGCAGAGGCAGGAGAATTGCTTGAGCCCAGGAGTTGGAGGTTGCTGTGAGCTGTGATATCATAGCACTCTACCCAGCATGACAGCTTGAGGCTCCGTCTCAAAAAAAAAAAAAAAGTACCTATTCCACGCAGACATATACAAAAGGCATCAATATGTGTGGTCTTTTATGATTGGCTTACCCTAATATTTCCATGTTTACCCATGTTGTAGCATGTATCAGTACCTTATTCCTTTTTATCACTGAATAAAATTCCATTGTATGGATGTACCACATTTTGCTTATTCATTTGCTATTGATGGGCATTTGGATTGTTTCTACTTTTGGCTGTTATGAATAATTCCTCTATGAGTATTACATGCAAGTTTTTGTGTAGACAATGTGTTTTTATTTTTCTTGATAGATATCTAGAAGTGGAATTACTGAGTCATATGGTAACTGTATTTTACCTTCTAATTGCCTGGGTTTTTTGTTTTTTTTTTTTACACTTGATCTTAGCCAAAAGGCAGAGAAGTGATTTTTAGTTTTTTGATACTTATTTATTGAGACAGAATCTCACTCTGTTGCCCTAGGCTAGAGTGTTGTGATGTCAGCTTAGCTCATAGCAACCTCAAACTCCTGGGTTCAAGGGATCCTCCTGCTTCAGCCTCCTGAGTAGGTGGGACTATAGGCAACTACCTGGCTAATTTTTGTATTTTTAGTAGAGACAGGATCTTGCTCTTGCTCAGGATAGTCTCGAACTCCTGAAGGGATCCTTTTGTTTCAGCTCCCAGAGTACTAGGATTATAGATATGAGTCATGGTGCCCTGCCAAACCTGAGTGTTTTTGAAAGTGGCTGTGCTATTTTACATTCCCACCAAATACATATGAGGGTTCCAATTTCTCTGCACTTGCTATTGTTTCTTATTTTAGCCATATCACTGGGTATAAAGTGGTATCTCATTGTGGTTTCAATTTGTGTTCCCTTAATGACTAATGATATTGAGTATCTTTTTTTTTTTTTAATTGAGATAGTCTCGAGCTGTCACCCTGGGTAGAGTGCTGTGGCGTCACAGCTCACAACAACCTCCAACCTTTGGGCTCAAGCGATTCTCTTGCCTCAGCCTCCCGAGTAGCCGGGACTACAGGCGCCCACCACAACACCTGGCTATTTTTTTGTTGCAGTTGTCATTGTGTTTAGCAGGCCTGGGCTAGGTTTGAACCCACAAGCCTTGAGCATGCGCACCACCCAGTGTTGAGTTTTTTAATTATTTATTGGCCATTCATATGTCTTTTTTGCTTCATATGTTTTCAGACAACTAAGTTGACATGAAATAAATTATATTTTGGGAAGATTTTTGTAGAAGCATTGTGTGAGATTGGTTTCATAGAAAGCCAGGAGGTAGTAAAACCAGTTTAGAGACTGGAGTGAGATAATATATGCTGGGACAGTGTTGTGATACTAGGAATTAAAAAGAAATAGGAAGAAAGAACAGACAAGCATTTGGTGAACTGGGTGTGAAAAATGAGGAAGAGAGAAGTCAGAGTTGGATTAGAAGAAGTTTTTAAGGACCACCTGAAATGGTAACACCCTTACTAGATAACCTAGATGTCAGAGAAGAATAAGATTCTTTAAGACTATTTAGAGATGTTATCTAGATATTAAAATGAAAGTACCCTCTATTCAGCTACAAATGGACTACTGGGGTTAGAGAATCAAAGATATGGAACTCAGGCTTTTACATTTCACAGAAGTGATGATTGAGAAACTGATTGTAGCAAGAGTGAGGGACCCAAGGTTGCCGTTTAGACATGAAGTAGGAAGAATTAATGGACAGTGCTGGATTAGGACACTTATGTTGCAGAAATGGCACAGTCTGGATGTTGAAGGCCAGGCAATTAAATTTGTTGATCCTTCCAAAGTAACTCAACTTCTTTATTTTCCCAATTTCCATAAAGAAGTTTCTAAGAAGCTGGTGGCTCACGTGTGTAGTCCTAGCACTCTGGGAAGCTGAGGCAGGTGGACTGCATTTTAGGAGTTGGAGACCAGCCTCAGCAAGAGTGAGACCCCATCTCTATTAAAAATAGAAAAATTAGCCAGCCATTGTAGTGGGCACCTATAGTCCCAGATACTCAAGAGACTGAAGCAAGAGGATCAGTTGAGCCCAAGAGTTTGAGGTTGCTGTGAGTCATGATATCATAGCACTCTACTCAGGGCAACACAGTGAGACTGTGTCTTTAACAAAAAAAAAGAAAAAGTTTCTAGGCTCGGCGCCTGTGGCTCAAGCGGCTAGGGCGCCAGCCACATACACCTAAGGTGGTGGGTTCGAATCCCCAGCCCGGGCC